AAAGAGAGAGAGAGAGAGAGAGAGAGAGACAGACAGACAGACAGACAGATAGACACACACACACACACAGAGAGACAGAGAGAGAGAGGGAGAGAGAGAGAGAGAGAGAGAGAGAGAGAGAGAGAGAGAGAGCAGAGAGAAGAGATCTGTATTGGGAGAGGGGGTGAGGTGTAATCTGAATACATGTATTTGGAAACGTTTTCGACCTGTGATTCAGTATTTTTAAAAATTGTTCTTTCTTGGTTTGGTAATGTTTAATGAAAGGGATGTAAAGAATAGTCTGTTTTCTTTAAATTGTGTTTCGAATTTGAGGCTTTTTATTTGTCCAGTTAATCTTTCTGGTGGCACCGGACTCGTAATCGGGAGATTGCGGGTTCGGGGGTTCGAGCCTCAGCTGGGTCCGACGTTGTGTCTTTGGGAAAGGCACTTTACACGAACTTCCCACTTGGCTCGGTCCTATCGGAGACGGACGTTAAACTAGGAGATCCTGCCCCTTAAGTAACCTAATAGTGTTGATAGGGGCGTTAAACCCTTACCTTACTAATTATCTCTCTGCACATGATTTACCGCCTTGTCTGCTTCTTATATCACTTTCAGATGACGAGGAAGAAGATATGGACTCTGGAGGGCGGTCACGTGATCCCGACGTTGCCATGATGACAGTAGGAGACCAAGAGGACAGCAATGTCGTGACGAATGGAAGCGCCTTTCATTCCCTTTCAAAACCGAACATGACACCAGGTAACGAAGATCCTACAGAGGAAATTGCCCACAGCAACAAGGTTTACGTGAAGGTAGAATGCGCTGAGGAAGGAGATGAGAGGAGTTTTGGTCACTGGCAGGATGAGAGAGCAATTTTATCTAACAACGTAGAGGAAACTGCTGATTCTGTGAACGGTGAGGATAGGAATGACAACTCCCCGTCGGACCCCACCATGTCAGCATTTGATGACCCTGCTTCTGATAAAGCAGATCGAGAAGAAAGGGAAACTTCACAACGTCATATAGAGGAAGAGACCAACGGGATTGATGGCACTGAAATTGAAGTCAAAACCGAGCCTAACGCCAGTCCGTCTTCGCCCTTAGCTCACCACAGTAACAACAAACTGCCAGACATCAATGCCTCCTCTTCGTCTTCCTCGCCCTCATCGTCGAATTACACCCCGAAACACAAAAGAGGACAGCGATCTCGATCTCGATCCAGATCTAAGTCTGGCGGTGCTGCCAACTCCCCGGAGAGCCGCCCACCAACGACCAGTCGTCAGTCACGAGAGAAGGCGGAGCAAGCGCTTGTCAATCAACTGCAGCTCCCTAGTGACGTTCTGTACTTGAAGCAGCAAGAGATGATCGTCCACGGGAACCGCAGCATCGGCTGGGTCGTCTGCTGCGCCATTCCACTTCCGCAAGGCTCGTCCTTGGGACCGTTTCAAGGTCAGCTCGTGTCGTCCGAAGCCGTCAAAGTTGGAGATCTTATAGTTCAAGTGAGTAGATTACTTTTTTGCGGGGGAAAGGGGGC